AAAGATTATCTCTGTTGAGACAGCCTGTCTCAATCAACCCTGTGCCTCTTAGACACTATGAGTTACTTAGGTGCCTCATGGCATGGTCCAACAGAGAATATCCCACTCTTTTTCACGATAAAATCATGGCCCTTCTTGCTTAGTGCAGGCTTGCTTCACACATGTGTATCCCTGTAATGTTGACTAGGCTTTTAGGCTGTTATTTTCTGTTTCCAGCCATTCACTTTTTCCTTAGTGTGTGGTTTGTCCCTTAGTATTCCTCTCAGACAGGGCTTTTCACTGAATTTCGTTTGAAGAAAACTGGAAGTCATATGTAAATTTTTAAAAATACTACTAAAACACATAAGTTATTGGGCAGTCTCTTCAATAGACATTGATTTTTTCCCCCAATTTGTGATACTCAATATTATGTCTAAAAAGTATCTCTGTTGTTTTCCTAATATGCACTGTGATTACATACCTATTACATATTTAAATTTATACTTGAAATATAAATTTGCTGTAAATTTGTTTGAGATATCTTGTTTCAACTGTATAAAAATATAAAAATTTGATGCTTTAGAAATAGGATTTTATACATTTATTGAGATGTTCAATAGGATTGGACAGAAATGCTATTGAATTATAAGGAAATGAATGCTAAACAATGTAGCCTAGATATTACTGTTGGGAAATCTCAGGAATAAGTAGAACATGATATTGTCAAGCTGTTGGGATGCAACATAACAAATGCTTGCAGGAAGATAGTTGATTGCAATAGGAATGGGTTAATGGCCCCACAATTAATGAAATGCAAAGGAAATAAATTTGAAGTGTTGGGTGTCTAGAAAATTCATTTCAAAATTTCAACATTAAAAAGTAAATATTAAGAAGCAGTTTAAGAATGCTAATAAGAGAAAAAGTACCAGAAATTTGTAGATTAATTTCTTTCATTTTGGTCAATTACTGAGAATAACAGCACTGAATCCTTATATTTATGCTTTTCTCAATTAAAAAAAATTCTTTTAGTGCTCATTATTTATTAGTGAGAATCTCATTTTAACTTTTCTTAAAAATTGAACATTTTTACATTGTAGATTTTATACCAAAACTTTCTTCTCTGCATGTTTAAAAATTATAACTTGTAATAGCTATTACATTAATTATTAGTCTTGGAGTAGCTTTTTATGCTGCTTCAATGGATGTAGAAAAACAATAATGGATTGTTTTGGCATTATATGAGTTCAGTAACCTTATCTAGTTGATTCAGTTTCTTTTTTTTCTCCTCTTATTGTCTTAAATTATGCTGTATTTCATGTTCAATTTTCTTCATTGGTAGGACAAACTAACTGCTAATGTCAGGGAAGCAAGTATAGGATCTGGAGCCAGATGCATCCCCAGCTCTGCCACTAACTGGGAGGTTGTGAAGAAGAAACAAGATTGGAAGTTACCTGGATGTGTAGG